GGGTGGACAACGCTGGGTCCCAACCTGACATTTCCTAGCTACTTTCTCTGAGGACAGGGCTCAGCCCATTCCCTTGGCAGTGCAGAAGGAAAAACAGTGAAAAGAATAACAGTGACCTTCTAAAATGCAGGGTCTGGGAGTTCACCATGAGTTTCCTGGCTGGTCTCACCAAATGTTGATGGCAGAACGACATTTTCAGAAGAACTTGGTTCTTGTGTTTTAAGAGACACATGAAACATTCTTCATGCTTCAGCATGGAAGAATCCAAGCAGAACGTGTGGATATAAATGGAGTTTATTAAAAGTTTGGAAAGGTAAATACAAAGTTGGTGCAGGTGAAGTCCGCCAGCAGTGAGTGCTTTTCTTTTTCAGGTGCCTTTAAAACCTACTCTCCTGGGAGGGCAGGCCCAGGAGGTTCTCACCCAATAATGTGTGAGTGGGGGAGGGGCATGGGCGGTTCCCAGCCCCGTGACGGTGGTCTGGACCACCCCCAGGCAACCTACTTGAGCCCCAAGGTTTTCCTACTTCTAGCCTGCTTCGATAGTTTTTCCTAGAGTAATTTCACCTTTTCAGATCTTACATAAGTTCTTTGATTCACTTTAAATTGGTACCAGTACAGGTGAGAGATTGGGACCTAGTTTCAATCTTCTGCAGGTGGATATACAGTTTTCCCAGCACCATTTGTTGAAGAGTGCATATTTTGAGCTGCTTTCTAGGAAGACGACCTGGGACCTTAACACTGGTTGAAAGATATAAGGATTGGAAATTGAGTGTTATGGGGTTTGGCCTTGGAGAAGGGAATGGGACAATGGAAAGAAGGGGAGGTAGCTCGATATAACAGGGAAATAAAGAATGGTTTGGGGGACAGGGAAAATAAAAAGAGAAAAAGAAAAAAAAGAGATTCCCCCAATTAGATACCAAATTAAAAATTGTTTTAAAAAAGACAAAAACAAAACAAAAATGCAAAAAATCCACTTATATTTTTTGTTGGAGAAAAGTGTGTTTGTCCAAGTTAGTTGTCCTTGCCCTGGTTGTTATGGGAACAGCTTGGGGGTGGGGGGAGTAGCACCTCTAGCTTAGGGTGTGGCAGGGGCCTCAGGTGAGGGCAGCTGGTACTGGTAGCTGATGCATTGTGTGAGATCTGGGTGGCTAGTTCTGTGAGTAGGGCACAGGTAGCTTGAAGGGTGGGGCCGCTGACTTCTGGACATTTTGCTGCTTTTCAGATTGCCCCAAGTCAAAACCCACCCTCTCTATGTTGTCTTTGGTGGCAGTCTCCCGAGCATACACTGTGGTTCTGAGACCTGGAACTCCCCAGGTGGCAACCTTTTAAATCCCTAGAGTTGCTCAGTTAGAGGCTTGCTGCTTGTTGTTTGCAATCAAGCAACTGTTCTAACTTGAGGTCTCAGTCAATGGTAGATGAGTTTTTAATTTTTTAAAATTATTTAATGGATCTGCTGTGGCTGGATTTGGTGATATTGGGTGTTTTTTGTTTTGTTTTGTTTTGTTTTGTTTTTTGCTGTTTTTCTGGTTCCTGCCAGGAACCCTTGGATTGCTCTGTCAGCCTCCCTTTCTGGCTAAGTTTACTCTGGGTGGCAGATTCCCAAGGGGAAACTATGACTGCAAGTCCCAGGACTTTCTGGGATCTGACTTTTCAAATCTCCTGAATTGCTTGGTCTCTGAGTTTTCCTGCTTGTAAGGAGCATCAGATATCTGAGCTCTCTGCCAGTGAAGGAAGTTTTCCACAGGCAGTTTGGCACGGTCACCAATTTCCTACTCCACCTCCCTCTAACTTCTCAGCTCACTGAGATTCAAAGTCTCTGTGCTGCCAGGTGACTCAAGATTGCTCCTTGTTTTCAAGATTCCCTGAGAGCCTCAGTCTTGATCAGGAAGCCTGCTCTGATGAGGGTATCTTGCCATGGCTCTCTTAGGCATGGGGAATGAAAGGGTTGTTCTGTGTGGTGCTGGCCTCTCATGCAGTGGAAATTATTGTCCTGTGATATCCCTGTACTGGGGTTAGGGTTAGACGGTGGTACAGGTGTTGTCCCAGACCTAGATCTGCCAGTCTGCTGCAACAGCTGCCCGGTCCACCTTGAGGTGGAGGCTTCCGCTTCCCCTCCCCTCCAAGGGGAGCTAGGTCTAGCAAACCTATTGCTTGATTCAGTCCACCATCTTGATGTCATTATTTTTGAGATATTCTGTCACTCTTTTGTGTCTCTCCATGCTCTTCCTCTCTTTGGTACTTCTGTATGTACCCTCTCGTTATCCAAACCCTTATTCACAGGGTCTGATGGAGAAAGCTACTACTATACCATCTTGCCCTTTCCCAATCACACTTTGGATTGATTTTTTTTATTAAGGAAATTTATATACCGTTAAAGTCAGTGGTTTCTAATATATTCCACTGTTGTGTAAACACCACTGCTATCCAATTTCATAACATTTCTATCACCCCAAACAAGAAACGTTGAACCTATCAGTAGGTAGTCCCAATTTCCATCTTTCCCTAACAGCCCACTAAAATACTTCATGTCTCTGGATTTGCCTCTTCTGGACCTGTCATTTAAATGGCATCATATAATATGTGGCATTTTGTGTCTGGTTTCTTTGCTTAGCACAATACTTTTAAGGTTCATCTATGTTGTGGTATGTATCAGTACTTTACTCCTTTTAGGGTTGAATAATATTCCATTGTAAGAATATACATTTTGTTTGATTTATATACAGAGATGACTATAAAAATAAGTGTCTACCATTTTCTGTATTTCTGTGTATTCACTTCACCTGAAGTCTTCATTGACCTGTATTTTTTCCTGTTAAACCAAGAGAAACACCTGGAGAGTGGGGAGACCTAGGCGTTATTGAAAGGACATTAAACAGACTGCCATTCTCCTCTGGGAAGACTGTTTTAGTACGTCCAGCGCTGGGTCTGCTAAGCTTAAGGCTATGTCAGTCTATGTCTTTAGCCAGAAAAGAAATTCACCCCTTTATTTGGTTCCTTCTGCCTGTGATTCCAACTGGGTAAAAGCTATCCTATGTAGCTCCCACCCTGTCACAACCCAAAGCACTTCAGAGGCTGCACATCATCTCTGACCTTATGTGATGGTCCAATGGGTCTTCAATCAGAACCAGGTCAGCCTTTACCTTCCCCCAGTTGCTGCCATCTCGGTGAGGCTCAGACCAAGTGCGTATCTGAGGTCCTGTTCCCCAGACCTTGATCCAGGGTTCTGGACTTATCATACTGCTCATGTCAGCTTAGTGGAAATGCTGGATGGGTAGGTTGGAAAGCATCCATTTTTAATTTCCTCAACTGGTTTACTTCAACATGCAGTAGAGGTTGAGAACCACTGCAATACTGCCTTCCTCTTTAGTTTTCCTTTTCTCCTCACAAGAGGACCAGCTACAGCACAGCTCTAGATCAGTCCAAATCTGTCAAAGAATGTGCTTTGGCTTCTATTATGAGATGTGAGCAGGAGCACAGTCTACTGGAACACATGTCCGTCTATAGATCTAATTCCCTATCCTCAAGGCCGCTGCTACATCCTTTATTTTTCAGAGAACTATAGCCTGGGAATACAAGATGTCTTATCTTTCTACCCTGACACAAACTACCTTAGAGTCAGAGTTTTGTGTTAAAATCCTCAGATGCTCCAGGGTGCCCATCATAGCACCGTGGGGCCTGAGTACAATGGGTTCATCAATTCCTTCCTCTTCTTCAGGTGGTATATGTTCACTGAGCAACTTCAAGTGCCTGGACCCTGAATATGACGACTGAAGCCAGGCAGGAGATGACCCCAATAGCTTGGAAGAGAGAAAAATCCAAGGCTTCATATTTTCTTAGGCAAGAGCCATCCACAAAAAAGAACCCTTGCATTTCACTAGCACATTGGCTATTTGTAGCTCCCAGGTCTAAGACTGAACACCTTATAAAAAGAAAACATGCATCAGCTTCTAACACTCACACTGGCCAGAGGTAATTGGTGGGCCTGCAGCATGGCCAGGTCCTACGACTTTGGTTGAGTTAGAGGAATAAAGTATCTTTCTGGAGGCCACTGAGAGGCCCAATTCCATGCTTCATTCACTTAAGTCCCATCTTTGCAAGTTTTGTAGATGTGTTCTTATTTATTTTGAAATGACCCACTTTATTTAAATATATAGTCAGGCCTCTATATCCATGGGTTCTGCATCTATGGTTTCAACCAGCCTCTGAAAAAAACTAAAAAAAAAAACAGTATTTGTATTTTATGAACATGTACACTTTTTTCCTTGTCAATATCCCTAAATACAATAGAACACCTATTTATATAATATCTGCTCTATATTACATGTTATTTAAGTATATGGGAGGAGGTCTATAGATCGGTTATATGCAAATAATCATTTTATGTCATTCATTTTTCCAGTACTGGGAATCAAACCCAGGACCTTGTGCATACTAGGCAAGTACTCTACCCCTGACCTATACCCCCAGCTCTACATCATTCTGTGTAAAGTACTTGAACATCCTCAGATTGGGTCCTGAAACCAATCCTCCTGCAGGTATAGAGGGATGACTGTACTGTATTTATTTATATTTATTTCACTGCTAGGAATAGGAATAGAACCTATGCCTCACACATGCTAGAAGTATTCTGACTGACCCAGCCCTCTATCTTGAAGGAAACTGGTATGCCACTACTTTAAATCATTGGGGGACTGTGCATCCACCAGGGGTCACTACATCTTTGTTGGAAAGGGAGATAAGCAAGTGCTGACCAGGGGCAAAGACACTTACACAAAATAGATGTCTTTCATGCCACGGATTGGCCAGAGGTGGCAATGTAAGGAAGACCCTTTTGTGTGTATTTAAGCATTTAGTGCCTGAAAGCACTGAAACTGAAAATCACACTTCTTTAGGCTGGTCAATGAGGTCCATTACCAGCTCTACTACTCTGCAAATTCAAAGACATTTGGAATAGGAATTTACTTGAAAAACAGACTTGTTTTAATGTAATTGTCATTCCACCAAAATGATCTTTTACTGCCATAGAAGATTTTGACCAAATGTTACCTTTTAAGTAGCAGTTATGTTTAAACAATACACATAGATATGACGTATGGCTAGCTGCTCAGCAAAGACAGTCACTACTTTAGAGATGACATAATTTTAGCCAAAAGGCAAGAAACTTGCTCTTGCTGCTGGTAAATATATTTGATTAGGCTGTTTGAAGAATTGAACAAACCTGGCAGAACCTTTGCCTTTTGACACCTCAGCTTAAGAGCCACTGCGTAAAGACAAGGATTAGGCCGTGTGCTGGGTGAAGTGACTTACTGGTGGGTGACTAATTGTGAATAGGTTTCTGCTCTGGAGACCGATTTCCATGGGATGTCATTTATTTGGATAAATACAGATATGAGTGAGAATGTCCTTTAAAAAGGTAATTTCTAGAATTGGCTACAGAAGTATCTGTGATTATCTGACTGCATCCCAGATGGATTTAAATTTCAATTTAAGCTTAACTTTCCAAGCCGCTTGCTTCCCTTTTCTCCTGACTTACCAGCACATGATGCCAAGGACATCATGAACTACTTAAAATAAAAGCAAACAAGTCTACCTGAACATGCTGCAGTTTGTTTACTTGAAGGATTTAGAATACAGAATGGACAAGGAGACTGGAATAAACTTCTGATTCAGTTTGGACCACAGATATGAAACAATTCTCATTTCATCTGCAGAGTTTCCATGACTGTAGCAATGATCTCTGGAAGCTTTTTGTCCACACTGATTTGGATGAAGTTTTCTGGAGCTGATGGGGGCTCCAGAGTATCAAACTGTGACTGCAATAGCTCAGGGGGCATAAAATGTCCTTTCCTTTGGAGTAAGCGTCCAGAGATGACCTCAAACGACCCGCTCAGATGGATCACCAAAAGCGGCATCTCAGCCAGCTCTTCCTTTCCTGCTTCCCCATGGCACAGAGGTGCACTATCCTTTCCTCGTAGCAGGATGTCTCTATATATCTTCTTCAGGGCTGAACAAGCTAAAACCACGTGCTGCCCTGAGGATACATCTCTGCTTAAAAAGAAAAAAGGAGAGATGGGGTCTTCGAAATGAAAACATTTAAAGTAATCAGTGCAATTCTAGGTGGAGAACTCCAGTCCTACTTCTCTCCCAATGGAAAGTGTTAAAATGAAAATGGAGATTAAGCATCAGACACTCCCAGCTTTCAGTTAAAACTTTCACTAGTGAAAGCTGCATTCTACAGCTGGCTTCTCTCCATTCCCACTCTGCAGCATGGTGGGCATGGCTGGAGGAGTTGCCATTACAGAACTAGAGAAAGCAAAGAGAAGGGAGCATGGTTCCTGAGTGGGCAAGGTGAGAAGGGTATGCAAAGTTTCCAGGGATGCACCAGGGGAGAAAACCTGAGGCAGCATGATTCAGCACCAGAATGGGGAAAACCCTGTGGCCAGAGACCACACAAGAGTGAGCCACAGTGTCCACATCACTGCAGTGAGTGGCTCTGTAGTGCATAAGGGACTCTTTAAGAGGTGGAGGGTAAATGCTTGCCTGAGTAGAAAGTTCTCTTCAGAACTTAGTGTTCTGAAGAAGCCTTCCTTTGACCTTAATGCCAGGATACACTGGGACTCAGTGGATGGAGTGTTACCACCAAAACAAATTACACACTGAGCTTTCCCTCTGGCCGAAGGCTAATGGGAGAGCTTGCTTTATTCTGGGTCTGGAGGTCTACACTGTGACCTCGAGGGATCCTCACCTATTTCCACGAACTGGTCAGTGTTATAGTATAGAGACTCAGATAAGTCTGTTGTGTCAGGGACCCATTTGGGCAAGAGTAATCAAACCCTGAAACCTGAGAAACTTGAAGCCCCTAAATAAAAATTCTAAGTCAGGGCTGCCACCATATCTATAGGGTGTAAAAGAGCAGACTGAATTTTAAAGTAGAACTAACTCCATATGGCTTTCATAGTTATGTTTGATACAATATGACTTTATGTTAAAAAGAAAGATTTATAACCCATGCCCTGCCTTTTCTGAGTCCCAACCAGGATGGGGCTGGACCCAAGGTGGGTGGAGGGTCCCTGTTAGTTCAAAGGTATGCCACAGAGCTGAACAATGCAGGCTCCAATCCTGGTGGCCAAACACCTATTGGTTCCAGGCCTTGCTGGTTGTCACAGCCTGAAGTAGAGGGAGAAAAAGTGATGAGTAAGACAGGTCATAAATGAGATGGTACAGGTTATCATGTTTTGGTGTATTGTTTTTCCTTTAATTGTGGTCCTGGGGATTGAACCTAGGACCTCGTGTGTACGAGGCAGGCTCTCTAGCACTGAGCCACATCCCAAGCCCTCAGTTAACATTTTTGGATATTAGTTAAGCTTAATGAATATTAGTCATTGTTTTAAGTGTAGGCCATGCACTTTTATTTTCTCACAATACTCTGTATTGTAGTTCCCACTACATTTATTCCCAATTTACAGATGAAGAAACACATTTATGAAAACCAAGTAGTTGATCAAGATTCCCAGCTATGGGCGTGGTGGCTCACACCTGTCATTCCAAGCTACATGGACAGTTGAGGTTGGGAGGATTGTGGTTCCAGGCCAGCCCAGGCAAAAAAGTTAGCAAGACCCTATGTCAATAGTAGAAAGCTGGGCATGGTGGTTCATACCTGTCATCCCAGCTAGGCAAGAAGCTTAAAATAGGAGGACTGCCTAGGTTGACCTGGGCAAAAAGTGAGACCATATCTCCACAACAGCTAGAGCAAAAGGAGCTGGAGGCATGGCTCAAGCAGTAGAGTGCCTGTCTAGCAAGCTCAAGACCCTGAACTCAAAAGACTGATAGAATCTTTGTCTCCCCAGCCCAAATAAACTCCACGCTGTCTGTACTGGCAGAAACCAGTGTTGGTTACTTGACAGAAGTGCATTCTATTTCTGAGATCCTTTATCACCAGTCAGTGGTGATTGCAAGAGTAAATTTTCTTCCCTTATCCTTTCTGGTGGAATTTTTTTAACTCATTGGCTTATGCCAAGGCCTGATGGATTCTTACCTTAGTAAAATGTCATGCAAGTTGCAGAGCCATGGAATCCTGTCCTAAAATTAAAGCAGACTCAAAGTGACTTTGCCAGGTACTGTTTGTACAGAAATATAGTTATATCATGTTCACAAACATTGGGGTCCAGAGATCTTGGTGGTTCTAATAAGCAGGCAATGCACAGGCTATGTCGGTGGGAAGGGGCAGTTTCTTGGTTTGGGTGTCAGTAGTTCTTTTTCTAATGTTTACATATCTGTTATTGCATTGCATATATTCTGTAGACACCTCTGATCTAAAATGAGGAGGGGATTCGCCATAATCTGTCAGCTTTGACTCTGGTCATATTCAAACCCTCCAAACAAAACTTCCCTCAGATAAATGCACTGAGAACTTTGTAGTTTTCCTAAAGAGAAGGCTGAGAAGTTTACATAGCTTGCAGTAGTGTCTGAGATGTGTTCTCCTTCCTGGGTTAAATTCTGATTACTGGCCATAGTGCATTGAAAAATGAATGGTAATATCTGATTACAGATTGTTTCTTAATGTGTATTGGGGTTTTCTATTCTTCATCCAGATTTAGTAACCTGAGCCCCTCCTCTCCACTTGCCTCCCCTCCTACTCCACACTCTTCTGTGGTTAAGGACTCGGGATGTGGCAAAAGCCAGGTGGTCACAGGGCAGGGGCAGATTCAGCCCACTTCAGTCCAGTGTCCTGGCTCCAGAGCCTCCGACACAGGTCACAGCTCAGTTCACACACTGCCCAAGGCAGGGTCACTTTATCACCTTCATTATTACTTCGAAGGAAGAAACAAAACCCATGCTTTTATTATTACACAGATCTTCTGATTCTTAGACCAAATGCAGTAACAGCAGGTTATGTTCTCATTTAGGGGTAAGAGGAAGCACCATGTGTCCCCGACAGTGTCTCTGTCACCAGGTCACTGCCATCTAAGCCCTCTTCCCCACAGTGGACTGTATGAAACTGTCTGGTTTTGTCTGAGTTCAAATACACTGGCAGGTCATTCACGTTCTCTTCATTCTCAATGTCAAGTGCTTTTCCTTCCTGTTGATTAGTCTTGCAAACACTTGTCTTTTTTTTTTGTGCTACTGGGGCTTAAACTCAGGGCTTACACCCTGAGCCACTCCACCAACCCTTTTTTGTGATGACTTTTTCGAGATAGGGCCTCACAGAACTATTTGCCCAGTCTGGCTTTGAAGCACAATTCTGATCTCTGCTTCCTGAACAGCTAGGATTACAGGCATGAGCCACCGGTGGCTGGCTTTATTTTTATCATCTTTTCAAATAGCCCTGTTCATCACCTACAGTTTGTTCACTAGCACTCCTACACTTTTTTCATTTATTTTCTTCTACTTGAACACATAGCTTGTTACTTTTCATTATTTTCTAAAACTGTATTGAGAGGACCTAAGTTCCCTAAGTAATGTCTGAATTGCACCCTATAAGTTTTGATTGATAGTACTTTTGTTGTACATTTCTTAACATTTTATAATTTCCATTATGTTTAACTTGAAAATTATATGATTACTTATTTTTTATTTTTCAATTTTATTTATTTTGAGTCCCCAGTGTTTTCAGTGATTTTTGGAAATTTTTATTATTAACTTGTAATTCAATTCTATTATGGTAAAAAAATGTGATTGGAATTTGTGCCAATATCCTTTACGGGTGCAGCATATAGTCATTTTATAATTGTCCCATATTTATTTGAAAAGAATATTTATTATTAGTCATTGATTAGTCAAGCCTGATGCATTTGTTCAACTCTTCTATATCCTTATTCATTTTGGTTTTTTATGTGTTTTCAAGAGAGGGATTTTTAAAAATTAATGAATGAATTTGACTAGGGCCTTGTGCTTGCTAAGCAGTCACTCAACCACTTGAGCCACACTGCCAGCCCTTTTTTGCTTTAGTTATTTTTCAGATAAGATTGCACATTCTTGCCTGGAAGTAGCCCCAGCCCAGGATCCTTCTATCTTATGCCTCCAGTGTAGCTGGTATTAGAGAGGCATTCCACCATGCCCAACTTACTGATTCTTGCTAACTTTCTGCCCGGGCTGGCCACCTGATCTCCAACTCCTGAATAGTTAATATTATAGGTATGAACCACTGTGCTTGGTCTCCAAGCAAGGTGTAAGTTCTAAATAACTTATTTATAGTATATTGCTATAATTGTTCTGTTTTATTTTTAGGTTTTGTTGCTGATCTCTTCTTGTGCCTAATTTATAAAACTTTAATGTAGAAAATATGCATAGGAAAACAGGATAATAGGCTTTGGTACTATCTTCAGTTTCAGGCATCCCCTGGGGGTTCTTGTAGCATATTCCCCATGCCTAGGGGAAACTACTATAACATGTGTTTCTTCCAGTAACCAATCATTTCTCCCCTCTCCCCCTACATAAATTCTTCTTCTGAATTCTACCCACCCCACTCAGACTACCCACTCAACAAGCATCACTTGTGAACAAATGGCACAGCAAAGGCAAGATGAGCCAGGGAAAGCACAACTGCAGGGTGAGCTGGGGCCACTGAAAGTGAAAACAAGTGTTGGTCTTTGGCCAGTTCCACTCATGGCTGCCCTTTGAACACATTTGGTTCAGACGCCTGTGTGCCCTGGCTGCTCTGTGGACCTGGCCCTCAGCCTTGCCCTCCCAGTCTCTCTTGAGTTCCAGCCAGTTACATCAGCAAATCCAGTTTGTGACTTTGGTTTGAAGGGGACACTCTGGGAAGTGACCTGTTGGGCCTACATGTAGGACAGTAAGATCCATTCGTTCATTCATTTGCTCACAAACATGCCACACATATTTTGTGTATCCAGGGGCTACAATGGTTAACAACACCTGCCCTTTCGAGGGTAAAGTCTAGCTGAAGAGACAAATATTAACTAAATTCTCACACCATCAATAGCTGAGTGCCAACTGTCCCTAACTGGAACAAGGACAACAGTGCTGGTGCTATGAGAGCTCATCATGGAAGTTTTAGGGAGGTAGCAGGGAGGGCTTCCCTTCTAAAGCGGCACAGGGGCCTGAATTGCTGGGGTCTGCAGGTGGGAGGCTCTTGAGCTGACTCCAGGCATCTTAACCTCCCTATGTAGTTCAGACTGACCTTGAATTGGCTATCCAGCCCAGGCTGATCTCAATCTCAGACCTTCCTTAATCTGCTTCCCAAGTTCTGCAACTACTGGGAATATTTCCACGTGGTCTGGAGGAGGGACCTCAGTGAAGCAGCATAGTTGAGGTGTGTAAGGAAAGCTCAGACGATGGGTTGTAGACTACACTTGCTGGTGCAGAGAATCTCCACTTCACGTTAAACGGAGAAACGAGGAGGGCCCCCGGGGCCGCCAGTGGCTGGCGCCCATATGGCTTGGGAAGACGCGGACCAGGTGAGCTTCGCGGTACCACGGTACTCCCACAGATAAGCCTGGGCCAGAGCAGCATAGCCCCCTGGACAGACTGACCTCCACCCGGGAAAAAAAAAAAAAGAGAAACTGAGTAATAAGCAATAAGAACAGTTAAGACACACTGGAAAAAGGGTGGGGCGCCCTGAGCGCTGAAGATTGGGGGAAGGGAATCCTTCCTGGGACTGTAAATAAACAAGCCGGGCAGGCCGGAGAGGCTCTGGCAGGAGCGGGGCGTGCCCAGCAACCAGGAGCGGGGAAGCTTGTGAGAGTGGGGAAGGGAGAAAAATTCCACAGGAGAGGAGGGAAGACCCACTTCCCACCTGAACTGTAAATAAACACACAGGCCTGACAACGCGGGGGCAGTGTCACCTTTCCCAGTGCTTGGGAAGGGGAAAGCCTGTAGCAGAGGCTCCCGCGCAGGAGAACTCTGAGCAAACAAAGCCTGTGGGACCAGGTGAGTGCTAGCTCACCCCAGAGATCTGCAAAAATAACGCCGCCAGCTACAGGCTGAGAGCAGCAGGCAGGCAAGCCACAGTTGCAGATACCACTCTCAGAACTGCCTCCAGACGCTTTTTTTTCTTTTTCTCCCTACCTTTGATGAGAGAACAACCGAATTACACCTGCAAGCTGAAAAACTTACTGAAACTGTATTGCATTTGAACTGGGGACACTTGGTGGGGCTTTTTTTTTTTTTGTGTGTGTGTGTGTGTGTGTGTGTGTGTAGTTTTGTTCTACTTTATGCATCCCCTTTGATGAGACAACTACAGAACAACATCTGAGGCACCAACTCCAGGACTGGAGATTGAGACGGACATCCAAATTATTAAGACTGAAACTGCATTGCATATAAACTTGGAAGTTTTTTGGTTTTTTTTTTTTTTTTAATTTTCTATTTTCCATTTTATTTTAATTCATTTTTATATATAGATATTACTTTCATTTACTTATTTTTTATTTTTTTTATCTTTGATTTTCAATCCTCTCTCTGTCTCTCTATTGTCTGTTCAGCTTACTGTCGATTAGTACACTAACACTCCCTGTTTATACCTTTGAAACTCTCTTGTCTTGTTCTGCTTTCTCCCTCTTGTCTGTATATTTGTTTTCCCCTTTTCTTTAACTTCTTGCTTTCCATCTCAGCTCACTCTTCCATTCTCAATATTACCATTGTTATTATTACAAGCTAGAAAATACTTAATTACACACAGTACAGGGACAGTAACAACACCAAGGACAATGACGGAAGACAGAAAAAACAGGAAACCAGTTTCCCCACAGCAAAAAATTAGTACAGGAACCAGAGGGGAATGAAGAGAACAGAAACTCAGATCCAGACTCCAACAAAATGAAGATAAACTATGCCAAAGGACCCAATGAAGCCACAAGAATAATTTAAAAGAAGACATACTACAAGTACTCAATGAGAATTTTATAGAGATGATACTGGATAGGGTCAACCAAAATGTACAGGAGACACTCAAGAAATTCCAAGACAATAAAAATAGAGAATTTGAAAAAGCAAAAGAAGAAATAAAGGAAACCATAGAAGCACTGTATAAACACCAAAGTGAAAGAGAGAACACAATGAATAAATGGATAAATGAACTCAGGACAAAAATAGACAACAATAAAGAAGAAAACTGCCAG